GTTATTGAATCTAATGAATTGATACCCAAATTTGTTTTCAGCTCTGCGTCCAATTGTTGTACCCGAATGTAATATTCTTGGCCTTTCGCCCAGACCAAGTTCTTTTGTTTTTTTTCTGTTTCCACTGTAGACCACGTGATTTTCCAATGGGGAAATTTTTAATTACTCCTTTTTAAAGGGAATGAAACTCTAAATGGAAAATACTTACGTCGCAGTATGGTCTCGAAAATCTATTTAAAAATCCATTTGATATGTAGAATAAGAAGGAAAATTGTGATTTACTTAAAATTAAAGGAAATTAAAAAATTCGCTTGTTAAATTCGCTTAAATCTTAAAACCCTACTCTTATCACTTCCAAATAAGAATTTCTCGCCAGTTCTTTATTCCCTTTATTGTCCTCTTTGACAGCAAGCTCAGAGAGGTGAAATGCTTGCCTATACAACGAGGCAACATTATTATCATTTGGATCATCCATTTTTAACCATATCTTTCAAATGAATTAAATAAGTTTTGTTTTTTAACTTTTAAGAGCAAAGCTTGAGAATCTCGAGTGGCTAGAAATTTCCATATTTTTAACCAAAAATCCTGTGTTACCAATAATTATGTTTCACAGGTTATAAAGCGTTTCGCGTAATGACCATCCTTTAATGGTAAAATGCCTTTTTCACTCCATAGTCACTCCGGTCAATTCTGCAAACACGCGAAAGGAGAGCTCGAGGAGGTCGTCCAAGAGGCCATCAGAAGAAAATTCTTAGTTTATGGTTTATCAGAGCATTGCCCTAGGTACAGGGTCCAGGATTTGTATCCTGAGGAGGTATTTTTTTTTGCCCATGCGATCCTGACAATTACCAAAAGTGGCGCGAATTGTTGGCATGTTGGATTTTTCTCATTTGAATGCTTTTTTCCAACTTTCACCTCGCACAAAAGTCACATCTCCAACCATCCGATCTCGCTAAAACTTTTTCCGAATTCGTCCTCGAAGCTCGTCGTCTCCAACTAAAATACAAATCCAAGATCACACTATTAGTGGGATTAGAATCTGAAAACATTACCGACTCTTCTACTTCCGAAATAATTGACCTTGTTTCGAAACACGATTTAGATTACGTGGTTGGTTCGGTACACCATGTTCACGAGACGCCAATTGATTTTGATCGAGAAACCTTTGAGGTAGCACTCTCAAAATATAGTCCGAATTACCCGCTTTCCGACTATTCCGTCTCAGATAACGCCTCCATAAATGATCCCATCTCATCTTATCCGAAATCTCCCGAAGAATCTTTATTCATCTCGTACTTTGATTCTCAATATCAAATTTTACAACACCTTAGGCCAATGATCGTCGGTCATTTTGATGTCATCCGAATTTATAGACCAAAATATAAGTTGACAGATTTGATCTGGCAGAGGATCGAGAGAAATGTCGAATTCGTTATTGGATATGGTGGACTGTTTGAAATTAATTCTGCGGGATTCAAATATTTCGATGATGCCTATCCTTTGAGAGATATTTTTGAAGTTTGTATAACCGATATTATTTTTATACATCAAGGTCTGACTTCAGAAATTTGGCTCTAATATTTCATTCTCTTACCCTTTAATTTAGCTAATAATTCGAAAAGGTGGTAAATTCACCATCTCCGATGATAGTCACGGACCATCGATGGTTGGTCGTAATTACGATAAACTTTACAGCTATCTGAAAGAATTTAACATCAATACCTT